AATTCAGATGCACAATGGTTTGTACGTGCTAAGATCAAGAAAACCCAGACAATCCCTCTTGTTATTTAAATGTTTTTCTCAGACACAAGACCTGCCTTAAAGTATGAAAGCAGCATGGGCAACAGAGGTGCAGTTTCTGGTGTTATGGTAAAGTAAGAAACACAATCCCACCCTGACCATGCTGTACCTTTGAGAACTGTTCCACGAGCATCTTCTGAAAGGCTCGCTCATATGGGTCCGAAGGCATCAACTTCTTCCCTGGAAATGCTTCATCCAAATATTCGCAAGTGATTGGGGACTCATAGATCAGCTGGCCCTTGCTGGTCTCCAGGACAGGAACCAGCCCAAAGGGGTGTTTCTCAAAGAGCCAGTCAGGTTTGTTCTTCAGATTGATGTTGATTACTTCATGGCTAAATGGGCAAAAGAAACGAGACCCAAAGAGGCTCAATTCAGCTACAGTCTACTCCATACCACAGTGAAATGCAGTCATTGTATCTCAACAGCTACTGTACTTGAGAGGCTCTCCTACTCTCCCCTAGTCTTTCCTAAAGTCCTTTGCAGGACTAATGATTTGACATGTAGAAATACTGCCAAGGAGCACCTCCCGTTGCTGGAGAAAGTCAGCACTGACTTACAATGAGTTGTTTGTTAAATTGGCATAAGACACACGAACAGTCTGCAAACACACAACAGAGGCAGCCCTTACAGTCATGCTAAAAACAAAGGTCAAGATCAGAATGCAGCTCACATCCCATTGCCGTTCAGGGGCATTATAAGAAACAAGCACCTGATTGCAAATAAGCTATGCTCCAATTAAGAAATGCAGCTGAACTTTAATCTGACTTTACACCAAAGAGCAAAGCAGGAGAGTAGCCTACCTACTTATTTTCCTCACCTATGGCCTCACATAGAACAGGTGTTTAGGGTTAAGGCAAATAGGTACTGATAAAAAAGACACATAGGAAATATGTCTATATTGTATTAACAAACCATGAGTTATAATGTGTTATATGTGTGACCCCAGAAAACTCATAGTAAGCCCTAAGGTCTGCTAAACAAAGCTGAACCTTCAAAACAACTGAAAGATTATCAGAAGGCAACTACCATGTTTAGGTAGTCACAAAACCCCTCCAAAATCACTATATTAAAACAAACCTCCCAGCTCCAAAATCTATCCAAACCCACTAAATAAAGCCAGAATTAAACTAACCTGGAAGTTTTAATGAACCTACTCTTCTGAAAAAAGACCCAATTAAAAAGCAAACCAAGCAAACTCAACTCTCATCTTGCTATCAGGAGAACTAAGTGGCAAGCACTTACTATGCTACCAGGGACTCCCAGCCCAGAGCTGGTTAACAAACCAGGCCTAGGACTTGGCAGGAATCAGCAGAAGGTGGAAAACCTCATTACTTTGAAGTTGGAAATTGAGAGAATCATTAGTCCCCATTAAAAAACACTGAAATTACATGGCTATCAGGAAAAAGAAACAACTCCAAGTACTAAATTCCACTAACTTACTACAGCATAGGAATAAGAAAATGTTACAGGAACACTGTACGTTTCCTTTTCTAGAAAGGCCACTCACTGTTGTGTTTTGCTAAGTGAGAATATAGAAACACTGACTATTCTTATCTCTCAGAATTTTCACAGCAGCTTACATCAAAACCAAACAGCAACATACATTAAAGCTCTGCTCACATTTACCCAGGACAAACTCAAATGCTATTATAGTAAACATTCAGAATGATGGGTGAGGGGTAAAAAAAAAAAATCGACTTGGAGTTTTTTCCTATGGATTTACTTTGGGCCTTTACATAATTGATTTCATGCATAGCCTACTCATTTCCCACTTCAGCAAGACATCCCTCCCCAAAAAAGTCTTAATAAGTTCCAGCTTTACAGCAAAATGACCCACAGAAAGCCCTTTTCATACAGTTCCTTCATGGACGTATAATTAAGAGCCATTTAGGATGCCCAGGTAAGAAGCGAAGCTTGAACCGGCCTCTGCTCCATGCAGCGGCGGGTGGGAGGAACCGCGGGGTCAGGCGGCCAGCGGGCAGCCGCGCACCGCACCGCACCACCTCGACCCACCGGGGAGGCCTTACCTGATGCCTTTGGCGCGGAGAACGAGGCGCGTCCTCTGAGCGAAGGGGCAGAACCGCATACTGTAGAGCCGGATCACCCCTTCGGGCACAGGCCCTGGGGCCGCGCTGCCTGAAGAGAGAGCAGAGAACC